TTGAACATCCTCGCCATGGTTCTGTTTCTGGTGGGCTACTGGATTTATCGATTTTCCGACAACCAAAAGGACCTTTTCCGTCGCCAACCAAATCATCCTTCATTTGCCGGTACGTGAACATTGTGAACGTTTTCAATAATGGATGTTCGGAAATAGCTTTCGTATCGATGAGTCATGTTTTCTACGTGTCTTCCAAATTAGGACGAATTGGTTCTATTTCATTGAATTATCTTGGCCGATAGGATTGTACGGTATTTTGCGTAGAATATTGAGACGTTTCTCCCAAATTCAAGCAGTGCTACTGTTCTATCTGGTAACGAGTGCTTGAGCAGACCTGGTAACGCCGTACCACAGACAAAACTCCCAGCGGTCTCGTTCTACCACGAATTCACATCTGATGGTGAAGCTGAAGGAGGTTGTGATCAATTCATCTAACTTCGTGATCTACCTGTGTTGAAAGGAAGCATGAGCAGCGTGTTGTCCTACTTGCCTCAGTGTGTGCGGTCAGATAGGCTGGGCGTTGAGGCTTGAAAATGGGTTTCAAGATGTCTGAGGCTGTCAGCTTCGGATGACGCCCAGATGTTGCGGCCTAAACAGATGCGAGACGAACAGGTGGGCTTGCAAGGACACAGTTAATAATGCAGTGGGTGAGGGAAAGAAAGGGGGTGTGAAAGGAAAGGAAGGCAGCCGATAACACCGCACGATCCCGACCCAAAGTTGCCACTTTGATGTGGTGGTCGGACTCGAGTGCTGTAATGATCCCACTGGCTACACTGGTTGTAACATCGTTCTCTAAGGTCCAACCATCTTAGAATTGCCAAAGGGGAGCAATCACATCAAGAGCAGTGAGACCTCGTACCACCAGTAATCGTGCTACGAGGCGGTCTGGGAGTAGCGGTGCTGCTTTTCTTTGAGGAAGAACGAGTTGGAAAAAGTCGGCCCTGAAAACCTCACACTGTTATTACCCAACGGTTTTCCGTGACCGCCTCCGGATTATCCGTATCGTTGAAATATTCCTAAAACCAGAGTGCGGTGCTTCCCAAATGGCACCTACTGCGTACAGCTGTTTCAAGAGTGAGACAGCCTTACTCCCCGCGCCCTCGGATTAGGCCAACCCTCTATAGAATGTTGAGTCATCGGAACCGGACGGCCCCCGCTGCCTCACGGGTCAGACTTTTGAGTCACAGGCTATAACCAGGGTCCCCATGCCAAAGCCCACATCCTCCGACTAGTCTGTGGGTCAGTCAAAGGCTCAAGGTTGAGTCCCTCAATCACATCATCTTCGTCGGCCTGGAAAACCGGGAAGTATCGCTTGTCCGCACAGATCTGTGTCCACCAATGTCCTTCCCCAAACCCTTACCACCACAAGCAAACGTTGCTAGGCCATTTGACCGTCAGTTATCTGACCGATGGGCCTTATGTCTGTCGTCTATTAGCAGTAAGCAAAATACCTTCCTAAATCCACGAGACCCTTTTGACGTCCGCAAAATAAATAAATAATAACGTCCGTACACTATGTCTAACAGGCAATGATCACTGAAACCCTTTAAAACGGATGTGTGCTGTGTCTCCGAAACACACATGTAATACTCAACCTGGGTTATGCATCCCAGGACAAACTTTGTTCTTTCACATTCCCCCGTCTGTCTGTCTGGTGAGCCAGAAGCGAATATATGGCATGTGAGTTGCACTCAGCCCCAGAGCTGAACGCGCTTTGCTGGATTTCCATCCAGTTGCTGAACGCGCTTTGCTGGATTTGATCCCATCCAGTTGTCCCGCCCAATCAAGACAATGCCCCTGGGCATAAAAAGCGCTGTCCGTTTGTATCGTTGGACGTCCTAACGGATTGTAGTTCTGACGCTGAGAGGAATACTTTCTATCGAGTTATTCAAGCCTTTTTATCAAGCAAGAAGCACTGAGATTATGAACCTTGCGAGCGATATGAATACCCAAGTCGGTCGTCTGAGCTCATTGGAATCGCATTTGGGCGGTCGATTCGGAGTCAGTGCTCGTCACAGGGACAACGGAGATCAACTCCTCCAGTTGTGTGGTGATCATGAACTGTTTCTGTCCAGTACAATCCTTCAGCATAAACGTTCGCATCGCATAACCTGGAGGCCATCAATTGCGAATCAACCGTGAACCAAGTTTGATCACATTGCTATCAGCTACAGTTCAAGACTGCCGGCCCTTCCGGGTCTCACGGTGCGAGAACGCCTGACATTTCGTTTCACTTCAGGCTCCCGTGAGCCAGCGGGAAACATGCCAATCCACCAACTTTGAAGAACTATCATACCTCAACTATGTCGATCTAAGCTAGTCCAGAAGCTCTCCACAGTAAACCAGGATAGAGCATGGAAAAAATGTGAAAGGGGGGCTATGCTAGCGATGGTCAGTGCCGACCGCCCAACCTCTCCGATTCGACCAAAGACAATTAGGTGACATCGAGATCGCTGTCCATGATTGATGCTACAAATCCTTACCAGCAGACAACGAGTGTGACGGCTCGCGCAGATCCCTCAAACGTCAAACAGTGAAGAGCCTATCCACGTTATTGCCTTCAATGCATAACCCCCCTCCCAATCTCCTCAATTAAAAGTTCACTGTATTTGCGCTGCATTGACCCGTCAATTATATCAGCTACCGCTCCCAATGCACAACTATCTACCCCCACCTCCCCGAGATCGCTCAGTGATGAATTTACTAACCGGAAGGTCCGTGATTCGAACCAGATTTCTGTATCTCGACTTCTGCATAAGCTTGGACAACTTGGCAGTGATCCAGTCCATGTGTGCTTCCTCCGGCTGCCATGGCAGCTATGCACCGAAAGGGTGTGACAGCCAAACGATTGTCTTTTTTATCCTCGGTGAACGAAACTGCGGCAAGTTGGCGGTTTTTGCAGCTGATGGTGATAATAACGCCACACGACGGCCAATGTGGCATGAGAATATTTTTAACTGTAGATTTCATGGTTGTAGGTGGTCCAGGATTCTGCTAGGGCGCCCAGACCTAGACAAGACAATGATTAGGGTTTTGAACCAAAGGCTGACCGCAAAGTAGCTGGGTTTGGCGGGAAATGCAAGTGCATTGCCATTTTACAGAACACGTCGTCATGGGTGTTCCAGCATGCAACTTGGAGGAGGGCTAGGAGATTGTGTTGTTCAGGCCTCTAGCAATGTCACAACCTGGTATGAGAGGCTCCGTGAGTGTCGCAGGGACACCCCCCAATACATCTCAGTGGGTCACGGGATACACAAGTTGTCACGTGGTTTCTTCGTGATGGCCCAGTACGTTTGGTATGAAGACGGTGACGGTAACACCAACCATATTTGCTCGTCCTTGTTCTGACGGAAGCTCTTGAGCATTTTTAACCAGCGACGATCAGAATGTTTCGGATCCTATCCAGGAAGCCATATTCCTCTAAATTCACTGTCCAAGGTCATCAACCGCTGTCCACAATCAAGATAACGTGGTGTGGTTGACGCTGAGTGGTTCCGTCGAGTTTGTTTAACCTTCCCACCGTGCCCCGTCCAGATTGACGCACTCGCAACAGTACCTCACTTAACACACAGGATCATTGTGAAAAATTCTATGCCGAAAGAAAAACATTTTTGCAAACTTTTGTTCGGACCAATGGGGGAATACTGCCTTTGCTCTATCTGGACTGCATGTCATTCTTTCCTCTTCCGGTTAAATAATCTTTACATGTCCTTTCCAGTGAATATCCCCATACCTGATCCAGTTTCTTTGGGAGCCTAAGCGGTGTGCATGCTTCAGAAGAGCACCTCTCTGGTTACTCGCCGCTGCAGTAACTTGCTGTAGTCACAAAACAACTCGGTTCCGTGTGTGTCTTTCATCTATGACTATTGTCTAAGAATGTTCTCCTGTTTGATTATTGTTCGCTTTTTTGGAGAAGTCTGACAAACGTTCCTGTCCTCGTCAAGAATATGGCTAAGAATACGAGGTGCTCAGTAGGTTTTCTGTTGCTCCTCTTCGAAAGGACCACTGGCAACAGCGGAACAACTGTACTGGGAGGTGCATGTCGAGCTCAGTAATTATCGTCGCTGTAAGAACAGCGTACTCGTCATACAGTGGTTGTAGCCGNTGTCTGAGGCTGTCAGTGTCGGGTGACGCCCAGATGTTGTGACCTAAACAGATGCGACACGAACTGGTTGCCTCTTCTAACAAGTGGGCTTGCAGGGACACAGTTAATAATGCAGTGGGGGGAGGGGAAGAAAAGGTGTCTACCCGCCCTGCTATCGGCAACAGTACGACGACGCAGCTGATGACACCGCGCGATCCCGACCTAAAGCTACCACTTTGACGTGGTGGTCGGGCTTGAGTGCTGTAATGATCCCGCGGGCTACATTGGTTTTAACGTCGTTCTATAAGGTCCAACCATCTTAGAAGTGCCAAAGGGGAGCAATCACATCAAGAGCAACGAGACCCCGTACTACGAGTAATCGTACTACGAGGCGGTCTGGGAGTAAAGTCGTACTGTCCTCTTCGACAGGAGCCTGAAGGCACTAAGATGTTTCCTTCAGGCGACCAGCGTGTCCATCTTCATGGAAGCAACGGTGCTGTTTTCCTTTGAAGAAGGACGGGTTTGAAAAAGTCGGCCCTGAAAGCCTCATACTGTGATTGCCCAACAGTTGACCGTGACCGCCAGCGCTTTATTCAGTATGGTTGAAATACTCCCAAAACCAGAGGGGTTCTGCCCACAAAGCACCTGCTGCGTGCAGCTGTCTCAGGAGTGAGACAGCCTTTCACCCTGTGCTCCCGGATTAGGCCAACTCTCTGCAGAGTGTTGAGTCATCGGCACCAAACAGTCCCCGCTATCTCGTGGGTCAGACTTCTGGGTCAAAGGCTCAAGGTGAGGTACCTCAATCACATCACCTTCGTCGGCCTGGAAAACCGGGAAGTTTCATTTGTCCGCACAGATCTGTGTCCACCAATGTCCCTCTCCAACCACTCCCCCTCCACAAGCAAACGCTACTGGATCATTTGACCGTCAGTTATCTGACCGATTGGCCTTATGAATGCCGTCTATTGGCAGTAGACAAAACACCTTCCTAAATATTTGAAGAGATCCTTTTAACGTCCGTACTCTATGTCAAGTTGCCAAACAGGCTATGCGCGCTAAAACCCTATAGTCCTTTAAAACTGATGTGTGCCGTATCTCCGAGGCACACATGTAACCGGGGTTATGCATCCCAGGACAAACTTTGTTCTTTCACATTTCTCCCTCCGTCTGCCCGGTGAACCAGAAGCGATGATTGTGGAATATATGGCATGTGAGTTGCACTCAACCTCAGATCTGAACGCGCTTTGCCGGATTGAATCCCAGTGAATAGTAATCTTTGTCCCACCCTGTTGCCCCGCTCGATCAATTTCAATGACCCTCGACATAAAAAGCGCTGCCCCTTTTGTATTGTTGGCTTGTGCTCTAATGGGCTGTAGGTCTGACGCTGAAAAGGATGCTTTCTACTGAGTTATTCAGGCTTTTTCGTCAAGCAGGAAGCACTGAGATTATAGACCTTGCGAGCGATATGAACGCCCAAGTCGGTCATCTGAGCTCCTTGGAATCGCATTTGGACGGTCGATTCGGAGTCAATACTTGTCACACAGACAACGGAGATCGACTCCTCCAGTTGTGTGCTGATCTCGAACTGTTTCTGGCCAGTACAAACCTTCAGCATAGGTGTTCGCATCGCGTAACCTGGCAGCTACCAACTGCGAATCAACCATGGACCAAGTTTGATCACATGGCCATCAGCCACCGGCAGAGAGCTACAGTTCAAGACTGCCAGTCCTTCCGGGGCACACGGTGCCAGCACGCCTGATGGTTCGTTTCCCCTCAGTCCCTCGCAAAGCAGCGGGAAACATGCCAATCCACCAACTTTGAAGATCTACCATAGCTCAACGGTGTCAATCTGAGCTAGTCCAAAAGCTCTCCACAGTAAACCAGGAGAAAGCATGGAAAAAATGTGAAAGGGGCTTTGTTAGCGATGTTCAACGCCGACCGCCCAACTTCTCCGATTCGACAAAAGACAATTAGGCGACGTCGAGATCGCTGTTTATGATTGACGCTAGATAATCCTTACCAGAATGCAACGAGTGTGATGGATCACGCAGATCCCTCAAACGTCAAACAGTGGAGAGCCTATCCACGTTATGGCTCCCCTCCCAATCTCCTCAATTGAAAGTGCACTGTATTTGCCGCTTCCAATGTGCAGCTATCTACCCCACCTTCCGAGATGGCTCAGTGGTGAATTTACCGACCGGAAGATCCGTGGTTCGAACCCAGTCTCTGCATCTCGACTTCTGTATAAGCTTGGACAACTTGGCAGTGATCCAGTCCATGTGCTTTCTTCGGCTGGCATGGCAACTAAGCATCGTAAAGGTGTAACAGCCAAACGATTCTTTTTTACCCTCGGTGAACGAAACTGCGGCAAGTTGGCGGTTTTCGCAGCTGATGATGATGGCGATCATGATGACACTGCTCGATGGCCGATGTGGCATGAGAATATTGCTAGTTGTAGGTGTCATGGTTGTACGCGGGCTAGGATTCTGTTAGATCGCCCAGACCTAGATAAGACAATGATTAGGGTTATAGACCAAAACTTGACTGCAAGGTGGCAGGGTTAGGCAGAGGTCGGATTCTAACCACGGACCCTCAGGTCAGTAAATTCGCGCTCTAACCACTTGGGCCATCTGGTGGGAACACCGGATCAGCAATGCTGAAGTACGTCGATTGGTATTCGGGAGAAATAACTCACCTTCAGTAATTATCCTATTGACTGTTCCCTCTTATCCCTTCAGGTAACAATTTCCTACGTTTCTTCCGCACACAGATACTCCAAAAATTTCCGGTCCACATGCACAACGTCTTCTTGCAGGTGGCTGGTGGGGCTTTGTTAGGCATCCGAACTACCTCGGCAATCTTTTGATGGTATACGCGGCTGCAATGCTCTCAGGTGAGATCCATTTCTTGGGTGTTCAAGTCAGTTGTGTTCTTTTCACCCTACCTACTCATTCACAGGTCCGACCCCCCGACGGACCGACATACTGCTGATGCTACTCAGTAATCAGTTGCGTTCCGACTAAATCGTTTGTTTGTTTGTTTTTTCCAACAAAGGTTTTGCCTCCCCGATACCGTGGACCTACCCACTACTCTTGACGGCTGCTCTGCTTCATCGTATCTGGCGTACGGAGTACCTGAACGCTGAAAAGTACGGATCCAGCTGGACGGTCTACACCAAACTGGTTCCCAACAAACTCATCCCAAGAATCTATTGATATTAGTATTAATACGAATAATGCTCAGTGTTGATTTTTTATCCACCACCCGCTCTGATTGTCCGTTTCCCAAATATCGTTCACACTCCTTGCTGTACGTAAACGTAAACACTAGTACCCTGATATCTTTCAAATCCCTCCATAACTGTCTACATATATTGCTAGTCATCCAAAAAAACAAACCCAGGGATTTTTTAAGATACCGTTATTTTTATGTCTATTGTGCATATCTATGTCCCCACCCTCCAATTTTACTATATTTTGTATAAAAGATTCATCGTCCTTATTGAGATGGCTCAGCTGGGTAGAGCGTGAATTTACTGACCGGAAGGTTCGAACCCGACCTCGACTTCCCTTGTCTAGTCTTGGGCAATGCGGCAATATCCCAGCCCTCGTGCAACCTTCGGGTGGAATGGCAGTTGGGCACCACCGAATGGGTACTACAACTCCTTATTGATGCCTGGATTCACGGTGGTGCGTATGGCGAGCGAACTCTCCATCGATTCGCCCGAATACTCATAGTTAGTGGTTAATCTAAACGCCGGATTTATTGTGGGTCCAGTTTTGCCAAATATTGGCAGCTGTAACGCCTTGGTTTACTTTCGTTTTATTCGTCTGGCTTAGAATCTGTCTTGCAAACATATAGGGACCGATTATCAGTGGTCGGTTATCTAGACATTCGCTCTCGCGCCATCTGATTGGTGGATTGGAGAGCATTTGTTCGCAATTTCGTTGGTTGCTTAGGAATTAGGAGGTGTGCGACCTTAATTACGAAAATAGGAATTTTCCAGCTCAACACAGTTACCGTACTTCGTACCCATAATGTACGAAATAATCATGCGGTCAACCGATTCTTCAGTTCGTTTGTAAAATAGAAACAGAATTTTTCGAGCACTGCTACTTAGGAGCACAAGAGAGCCTTTGGTTTTTATGACCATATTATTGTTTGAAAAGTTCGGCGACTGAATTGTCACTAATGTGAGATAGAATGAATGATTGAATTCTCGCTTGCTCGAACCCAATCGCCCTGTTGTTTCCACTTAGTGGAACAGCATACTTTTTGCGGTTTTCCTCTTACAGATACCCTTAAAAGTTTACCTTATTAGAAGGATTGCATAAATCTGTCATCTTTCCGTCGACCACTGTAATTTTTCCGCATAAAAATCAATCAGTCGTGTTCCAAAGGTCTCCATCCATCCAGCAGGCATTTCACACTAGCTTCTCTGGGATTTTCCAGTTCCTTGGACAGTGTCCGACGGCCCCCCCCCCCAAAGCCTCGAACCTGGCTGTGATCCGAAAAATGATCTGGAAAATGCGTTCCCGGATGCATCAGTCAGATCGGTCCAGATCACTAGTCCTCAGAATTTAAGTCCACTAGCCTCTCTTTTCCGGTGTGTTTACTGTGAGGTGTAAGGGAGCATAACTAAACCGAAGCAGGATAGTCAGGTGCAATGGTCACGTGGTTTGTAAATGTTTCTGATCGGCTGGCATACTTTTTCGGCTTATCAAAAACCGGTTGGAGTCACCCCACCCAGGACGAGTGCAGTTGGTTTGTCATGCGAGTCACTGCTCACTTGCGTCCTCGATTATCGCACCTCTTGAATGCGTGTAGACAGACCGAAAAGAACCCAGCCCGTTGAGTGCACACTTTGGCAGTTTTAATGAATGTGTCGATGACCAACATCCTCGGTTAGTTTGTCCAACAGACCTTCCATCCGGGTGGACCTCGACAAGCCCTGTGTGATAGCAAATTGTTTCGTTCAAACAAAAAGTAATGAACAGTTTATGGTACGTTCAAAACGCATAGTCTGCTGTTCCTACATTGGCTTGTTCCACAAAACCCGCTGGTACATCAGTTTCTAACCAGACGGCTAGACACTAAATGAACTTCTATCGGTCCACCAAACCATCTGTCCACCGTTGGTCGCGTACAGTGATACCTGAGACGATAACGGGTGAGTGAATACTCTTCGGAGAGGTCCCTTACCGTACTGTGCCCGAGAGGGGACACCCCTGCGTACTCCTCAGGGGAGTGACCTCTGCAAGAGTATCCTGGTTGGGGTCTTGTGTCGAGTTACATATAATAATCGGACTAAGCGTGCCGGTATTAAGGAAAGAAGTGAATTTCATCGCGTTTCGATGCCGAGGCAATATGTGCGGCGTTTAGTGTCAACACCGTCGTCCTCACCAGTGCTTCATCGAAACTAACTTGTTCCCTTTGGAGATGGAATGTGCTTTCTGAAGAATTGCTTGTTTGACAATCTCAGTCGGTCGTACTTTGTAAATATTTTTTTCGGTGGAGAGTAGTGAAACAGCCGTGTACATATCAGAATGTGCATGATGGGTATCCACAGGTAATATGAGTTTCGGGTTCTTCGCCAGCCGTCTGCGCAAGCTTTCAAGGACCGTTCACAATTAGTTCGCTCCCGGAATCATCCGTCCCCTGTTTCTTGACGCGGCACCACTCATACGGTTAATGGAAACTCCTCTGTTAGTTTTATCCTCTTGGATTCGCCGTACTAGTCAGTAGACTGCGATGCATTACGATCTCCACTGAGGTTGGATGTGGAACCCAAACTGTTTCGGTGAGTGGAAGTATCTTGCTTGCTGGACCCATCAGTGAATCGATGTAACTGAGCTCCGTGGTAAACAGCCGAAGACTGCACCGTCGTTTGAGATTTCCACCTAGTCAGATATTCAGCAGGTCATTCAGTTTTATGTGCCGGACTTGAACCCTTATCTCTGACGGTTACAATACTTTGGGTGTTAATTCCTTGTTTAAACAACTCAGGTATGGGTCGCTGTTCGGAGGTTGTAAATGCTTACTACGGAAGTCTCTCTAATGCGACGTTATATCCTGGATAATCAGAGAAGTAGGCCGTCCAGTTCGAGCAGTGTCCTACCCGTCGTCATCATCAGCTGCAAAAACTGCGTACTTGCCGTATTGTGGTTATGGTCGCCACAGTTTCGTTCTCTGATGATTTGGGAATGTGGGGTAGATAGCTACGCATTGGAAGCGGTAGCTGATATAATTGATGCGTAACTGGGGGGTTGGTGGACTTTTCATTGAGGAGATCGGGAGAGGAGCTGTGCGTTGAAGACAACAGCTTGGATGCATGAGCGCCATTGAGAGCGCGGCCCGTCGTTGCAATCGTCGACTTCATCACGCTCTGTGATTTCGCTTCTTTGTGCAATAGGAGATGGTTTTTTCTGAGTTAATGAAATTTAGGTTTTGCATAGGAATTCCAGGCTAAACGCTGGCGAGTTTTTGTCCCTATTCGGTCACCTGACCTCACTTCCACTACACGCTTGAATTCACCTACCGCTCCGGGCTTGCAGAATGCTTATTTTTCGTAGAGTAAACTACTCAAAAGACTACTGAAAACTCTTCCGTTCGTATGTTTCCGATTGTCCATCTTTCCTTCACAGGGACAGTCATTTCTACCGCATACGTGCTGAATNGTTTCGGTGAGTGGAAGTATCTTGCTTGCTGGACCCATCGGTGAATCGATGTGACTGAGCTCCGTGGTGAACAGCCGAAGACTGCAGCGTCGTCTGAGCTTTCCACCGTCCAGTTTGAGCAGTGTCCTACCCGTCGTCATCATCAGCTGCAAAAACTGCGTACTTGCCGTATTGTGGGTATGGTCGCTACAGTTTCGTTCTCCGATGATTTGGGGATGCGGGGTAGATAGCTACGCATTGGAAGCGGTAGCTGATATAATTGATGCGTAACTAGGGGGTTGGTGGACTTTTCATTGAGGAGATCGGACGAGGAGCTGTGCGTTGAAGACAACAGCTTGGATGCATGAGCGCCATTGAGAGCGCGGCCCGTCGTTGCAATCGTTGACTTCATCACTCTCTGTGATTTCGCTTCTTTGTGCAATAGGAGATGGTTTTTTTCTGAGTTAATGAAATTTAGGTTTTGCATAGGAATTCCAGGCTGAACGCTGGCGAGTTTTTGTCCCTATTCGGTCACCTGACCTCAATTCCACTACACGCTTGAATTCACCTGCCGCTCCGGGCTTGCAGAATGCTTATTTTTTATAGAGTAAACTACTCAAAAGGCTACTGAAAACTCTTCCCTTCGTATGTTTCCGATTGTCCATCTTTCCTTCACAGGGACAGTCATTTCTACCGCATACGTGCTGAATAGTTTCAAGTTTATACAGCATTCTGGCTTCTCAAAATCCCTGCATCTCACTCAAGTTTGTTGAGTCCCTGCCCAAAAATGGGCGCATTGATGAAGTACAAATGATAGAAGAGCTAAAAAGATTGGGGAAATCCAGAGTTTGGGTGTGTGTTGAGGCAGCTGTCATCCGACCCCTGACCGGTCGCTTTCTGTCCCAAAACTACTTGCAAATGTCACGAGTAGTATGACTCCGAGGAAGACACTTCAATGAGTTCCTAAATTTAGCCCTTTGGTCTCTGGAGGTGAGTGTTGTATTGTTACATCCATGTTCGTGTCCGTTCGTAGGTCGATGGCGCAATCCATGAACTGCAGTCTCCATTCTCAAAGTCCCGTGGACAGAGTATGTTCAGGAAACTTCGCTCTTACCGCGGGATCGGAGAGTGTTTTCCGAATGGTATCGGAGAGAACCGTTGTGCAGTGACTCCGTGCCACCTCTGGGTGGGACCAAGTGCAATGCGAGAAATGGTTCTTGGTCCGTTGACCCTCAAGGCCTGGAAATGTTTTCCAGAGGATAAGAGCAGCAAAATCAATTGAAAAGAATTCCTGTCCTGACCAACTCTGTGACCCGAGGTCGTTGGAGCCATAACCTCAGGTGAACAGTGCGAAAGCCAACAGAAGTTAGTAGATGTAACTTGACGAAGTGTACACTACACACATGTTCACTGGAAACCACTTGAGAGTCCACCACTGGTTTCGGAATTCCTGGGGCCCACCAGGCTGGCCGAGTTTCCGTCAACCCAATGGTTTGCTCGAACACAGATAAACTGTTAACGGGAGACTGATGTCCTTCAATTGTGATGAGTCCTCGATACGGGACCTTGAGTCACGCGTAGGATTGACGATCCCGCACATCAGATGGTAGAGTATTTCGAAAGCCTGTTTACACATAACTAAACAAAAGTATGCAAGATTAAACCAATCGGTTGTAGGTGACTGCAGGATTTGTAGAATTCTCTATCCCCTTGTACTGACGCAATTACTATGGTGAACACACACCAAAGGCGGGAATCAATAGACTCGAGTTTCGCTCTTGTAAGAGCTCATCATCAG